AAAGTGTCCAAACTTTTGACTGGTACTGTACTATAATATACACAAAGAATATCGGCCGATATATCGGTATCGGCCCTTTTTTACTCCCTAATATCAGTATCGGTATCGGCCGCAAAAAACCCTCTCTAATTAAAAAGGTTTTAGACTAAAAGAAATGCATAATACCTTGTGACAAATGTTTAAAATGATGTAGACACAAATAAGATACACTACTGTTCAAAAGTTTGGGGTCAGAAAGATAGTATATCTTATAAATAGTATAGTAATATAGATATTAATAAGATATAGTATAGTAATATCAGAAATATATATATATATATATATTATTATATATATTATTATTATTATATATATATTTTTTTAAAGAAATGTGTACTTTCATTTAGCAAGGACACATTAAATTGATCAGAAGTGACATTTATAACATTTATTCTGTAATAGGAGACAGAAAACTAAACACAAAACAAAAGATCTGATGAGCCCAAGATTCAACAGATTTGTTATTAAAGGCATACATAGTTCACCTAAAATAGAAACTTCTGTGATCATTTATGCACCCTTATATTTTGAAGAATGTGTGGAACCATTGATAACTCATTGATTTCCATAGTATTTTTTACCTACTCTGGAAGTCAGTGGGGACTAACAACTGTTTGGTTACTCACATTCTTCAAAATACCTTATTTTATGTTCAACAGAAGATACAAATTCATACAGGTTTGGAACAACTTGAAGGTGAGTAAATGGTGTCAGAATGTTCTTTTTTTGTATGAACTGTCCCTTTAAGCTGTGGAATATCAGTCAGCAAAAACTTGAGTGCACCTTTAAGCGATAATGTCATTGCTATTGCTAATATTACTCAAATGTTTCTTCAGCTGTGGTAGTTAATTTGTCCTCACCTCATTACTTTTGATAAGTTATTCATAGCTTTGTTTTTCCTGTAGTATTTGTTTACTTGGCTTACTCATCTGTTGAGTACAGCACACTATAGGAACAGTATGACTTGGTAAGTTTCTCTTTTGCAAGAGGCCAGGAACTCGTGCTGTAGTTATTCTTACACTGGGTTCTGTTACTTAGAGCAGCTGAAAGCCCCATTAGCTTTTGAGCGTACATTAGCATTATCATAACTCTCAATTAGAGCAGATACTGAAGAAAGAATCTCTTATGCTCACCAAGGCTGCATTTATTTGATAAAAAATTTGGTAAAACATTAGTATTGAGAAATATTATTATTGTTTTCTATTTTATTATATTTCTAAATAAAAATGTTTCCTGTGGTGGCAAGTTAAATTTTAAGCAGCTGTTACTCCAGTCTTTTTAAGTCACTTTTTAACACCCTATGGTTTTCTAACTTGCTAAATAACATGATTATGGTTTATGGAGATGTTTCTCATGTTTCAATGTCTTATAACTGTAGTGACTTTGACTCGCTGGATGAGAAAGATGTGGAGAAGAACAACCAGTTGGCTTTTGACGTGGCCGAAAAAGAGTTTGGGATTTCTCCCATCATGACCGGGAAGGAGATGTCTGTTGTGGTGGAGCCTGACAAGCTCTCCATGGTGATGTACCTCAGCCAGTTCTACGAGATGTTCAAGGACACTTTGCCACCTGGTGGTGAGTTGTAGCTCTACAAAAATGAATCCAGAGAAAATTGCAAAACCAAACGGGAATGTCAAGCCAATATTGGAGTGTTTATGCTATTCCCTAGCATGCAGTTCATTCATAGAGTGTAGTAGTTATTATTCATATTTTTGTGTTTCAGAAAACCACAATCTGAGCCCTGAGGAGAAGGCTGCATTGATTGCCAGCACTAAATCACCCATCTCGTTCCTCAGTAAACTGGGTCAAAGCATCGCCATCTCCCGCAAACGAAACCCCAAGGTAGTCAAGTTTCTTTTTGTTACTGCAAAATTATTGATTATTGTGATCTTGGCTTATCCTACACATTTTGTATAGGATAAAAAAGAAAAGGAACTGGATGGACTAGGAAAAAGACGAAAGACCAGTCAGGCTGGACAGTCAGAGGATGTAAGGCCATGTCTTCCTGGATAAGTGGATGTGTAACATACTGCTTTGTGTATGTACTTGTCTAAATCCATTCATTCCTGTTCTCCAACATCACAGGAAGAGCTGCAGAGGGTTAATCGAGACGACAGGCCCTCTATAGCTACAGCTCTGGCAGAACGTAAAATTGACTCTGCTGCAGCAGTGAACAACAACAATAAAGTGAAGGTCATGGCCACACAGCTGCTAGCGAAGTTTGAGGAGAACGCCCCGACGCAGTCCACCGGACTCAAGCGACAGGTGGGTTAGAATTTATGTGTTTGCACAGTTGCTCACTAAAATGACTGTGGACTTTCTATGACATTTGTGGATTCTTATAGTAACAAGTGTAATAAAGAGTCTTCATCAACAATTAATTTTGTAAGCAAAGTTGGCAACAAAATGATTGTTGTTCTGCAATAATGCTTGACTGACTGTACCAGTGTTACTTTATTATGATGTATATACAATTATAATATTTATTAATATTTAGAATTAGCTTTATTTATATTTCCAGTTTTTGTTATTGTATATATATTATTTTATTTAAATTTTATGTGCTTTTGTCGTTTTTATTATTTCTTTTTTTCGTTTTTACTTTATTTTTAAGTAATTTTAGTACTTACACTTATTTCGTTTAACAATTTCGAACAATTTAAAGCTTTTCATCTAATATTTATGTTTCATTTTATTTTAGTGAATTTTTGGGGGGGGGGGGAGTTA